GTCAAGTCAAGGGTAACTTGCCTCCTTGCCCAGCTTCGGGGGTCAATGATACTGTGCCGAGCTCTTAAAATATGTACTACTGAGAATATTCATCATTTTCCCCAGTGAGTCATACTCAGTCTGCCAACCAGGGACAGCGAACTCGCGGGACTTGAACTTGAGCATGGATTTCACTCTGGAAAAGGAGGTTCAGAAGAACACTCGCTCGTCAGCAGCCGAGAAAGATAGTTAGCTTATCCCGCTTCTACCAAAAGCCCTAATCCTTTGAAGCTCCCCCCCCCCCCCCCCCCCCCTTTTCACCATGTGCTGATGTGTATGTAATCCTTGCAGCGGCCAGGCATTCGAAGAGGACGCCGAGATGACCGGCACGTATGAAAACGCCCACATCAGCAATTTCCGCGTGCCCCTCGTCTTCCGCCACCCTCAGCTCCCGCGCATCCAAGTCGCCGCAAACGCCACTTCAATGTCCATCCTCCCGACCATTCTCGACCTCCTCATCTCGACCAACTCCCTGGATGCCATCGACACCACCGCAGCCTCAGATCTCATTCACGATTACGAAGCCCAGTCACTGCTACGCCCCTTCAGGCCCTCGCTCAACGGCCGCCAGGCGTGGAATTTCGGCATCATCAACTCCGGCGGCTCACTGCTGGCCATTACGTCCGCTGCCGTTCCTTATCGGCTTGTCATCCCGCTGGGCGGCAGCCACACGTTCCGCTTCACCCACATGGTCAAGGATCCGAACGAGCTCCATCCGCTTGAGAAATGGACGCTGGGCGACATTGTCAACGTCGTTAAGCACATGTACGGCGAGGAAGCGGCCAGCTGGGTGCGCGAAGCCGATGCTGTGGCCAGATGGTGGGCGGCGGAAGTGCGTCGTTTGTATAACTATAATAACTGATATTTTTTAAATTTTTTGTTTTTTTTTTTTTTTTTTTGGGATGTTTCTTTCTTTCTTCCTCTTAGTATTTCCATTTCCCCTTTTTTTTTTTCATGTTTATTTTATTGTTATATATTTTATTTATTTACCTTTTTATTTTTATTTTTATTTTTATTTTTTTTGGCGATAAAGCGATGGGTATGAATCTGATGTTTTTGGATAGATATGCGAGGGATTTATTTGTCTGTGCTTTCCTTCATCCCACTCTTTTCGAATATTGGGTGGGCGTTCTGTGTTTTTCCTGTTATCATCATCATCATCATCATCATCATCATCATCATCATCATCATCATCATCATCATCATCATCATCATCGTCATTGTTTTCCTCGCTTGACATGTTTTATGTTTGTAATTAGAGAGCCCGCTGAGCGTTTTCTTTTTTTTCTTTTTTTTTTCTTTTTTCTTCTTTTTTTTTCGTTTTCTGTATTCACTATTTTTATTTATTCTCTCTCTCTCTTTTATATTATTTCCGTCAGTCGGAAACCATTTATTTGCCGGATCGATCGACCGATGATTCAAAATTAAAATCATCTTTCATCTTTGGTTCTTGAAAATTTGGGTAACTAGTCTGACTGACTCCATAGATAAGACGATGATGATATACAGTAAAAAAAATAAAAAATAAAAAGTAAAAAGTAAAAATAAAAAAGCAAAACCCCCCCCCCCCCTTTTTCTGCTGCTCCCCCTCCCTTGGTTTTGATTCCTTTTTTGGCCCTGTCTCTTGCAGGCAGGCAACTATCAACTATTGGAGCGCTTGATTGATTGATTGATTGATTGATTGATTGATTGGTTGTTTGTTTGTTTCTTGTTTCTTGCTTGTTCAATAAAGATATCTCTATAGGGACTAACTAACCCCCTTAACTTGAACACCCCCGAAACCTCGAAATCATGCCCCATGCATTGATAGATCCTTCTTGACTTGACCCCACCCCCCAAAACGGTGTAAAAGAAAGAAAGAAAGAAAAAAAAAAAAAAAAACAACAACAACAACAACAACAACAACAACAACAACAACAACAACAACAACAACAACCAAATCTGGTTCACCACCACCACCATCATTTGATAATGAAACGCTCGTAACAAGATCGGATGGACAGACGGACAGACAGACAGAGAGCAGCATCTCGGGCCCCAAATCCCGGCACCGCCGCGCGCGCGCGAAAGAAAGAAAGAAAGAAAGATAGAGAGATACCTCGTTTCCTCGTTTCCTCGCTTCACTTCACCCCCTTTTTTTTTTTTTTTTTTTTTTTTTTTTTTCATATATGCATACATACATACATACATACTGCAGCAAATGCCACGCAAAGAAAAAGGAAGGACATCGAATCCCGCAAGCTCCACGTTGTAATGCTGGACAGCGGTATGTATATGTATTCCGGGCCAGGATGGTGGTTGGGGGCGTGCGAATTATTCGAACGCCAGTCGCGAGTCGCTGGTGCCCAGGGCGCTCAGACCTGCAGGAGCAGGGTCTGAGGTTGAGGTTGAGGTTGAGGTTGAGGTTCTATCCCTCGCCGCGGGTCCTGATGACACAGGGCGCAATTGAGATTCCGGCGCTGAGAAACGGCTTCTAGAGGGAAAAGTCGTGTTGTGTTGTTGTGTGTGCTTTGGTATATGGAAGCTGCTCTCGTTGCCTGCTGACAATCCGGTGCGAGGGAGGTGTCTTTGCAAGGGGTTGTATATGCAATCGCGGAAGATGTTGTGCGGTGCAGTCGGGAGGGAGATGGGGGCCGGGGCTTGCTTCCTTTTCTGCTTCTGTTGGGGTTTTATTTTTATTTTTATTTATATATATATATATATATTTCTCTTTTCGATTGCGATGTGAGCTCACTTTATTATGGAGTGATATATGATATATACATATATATATATATATATTGACGGCTTTGGTAGAAAATCGTGACACACCCGCTGAAATTAAATAGGTGCAGTGTGACGATCGAATGTTGTCTAATTCATAAACGAAAAAAGGAATATTCAGCCACCCCATTGTCATATGTGAGAACCTGCTCTTCTTCAAAAATTCTTTTATCAGATTCTTCAAGATATCAGACCCGAGGGGGAGGGAGGAGGAGAGCGGTTTATTCCTTACATAAAATTAGCACGGGTCTCTCTACCAAAAGGAGGGGTGTTTGTATGCAGATTACCCACAACATAGAGAAGGCTATAGTACACAGATGTTGGTCGACGAGCTTGAAAATGCGGAAAGAACATAAATGAGAGCCCAAATGTATCTTTTCCGGCAATGCGGACGGACGGAAACAGCGGACTTGCTGGAGTTTTCTCGGGCGCATTCAGACAGAACGTCCATAGCGATGAGCGCAGCCGAGAGACCTTCCGCAGGGATGTTAAGGTTGGAGAACAGGTACATCAAGGTGCTTGGTAGCAAGCTTGACTGGAGTGAGATAGAGAATAAAATAGGTATGGTATCACATAGCCATCGATTTCCCTTTCCCTTTGCCCTTCGAGAAGGCGGGAATCGCAATGCAGGGCAATTTATAGTCACCACTCTCCTCTCCTCCGCCCAACATCTTCTTCCCCTTGGGAGGGCTGTCAGGATAGCAGAGTGGTTGATTGGTTTGTTGTGCTAGTCCATCGTGAAGCCTCATTATTCTGGGGTATTTTGCAAATATCAGGGCATTCATGGAGCCATTCTTTCGTTCTGTTAGGCGTTGTGCCCCTGCTGGCGGTTGCAGTGCAAGTGGCGCGGGTGTGGTATTTATTACTGACCCGAGGAACCAGGAACCAATCCATGGATACGATTAGAGTGTCGCCTCGTCATCATCTTCGCGGTTCTAAAGCAACATGTGCGATGTTTCGCAGGGCCTGTCTGTTTTTGCGCTTCTGTTTTGCCAGAATAGAAGATATAATGGAGAGTCAACTGTTGTGGCTGGATCTCTCGGCAGGCTTCAACGACTGGCTCGTTGAGAACGGCCCGCAAGAAATCGAAGTGAGCCTCAGTTCCGAAGCCCGTCGGCCATAAAACAACCGCATTGCATTCTCAATACTGCGCTGTCCAGGATGTCCAGGAGGTCCTGGCTGGGACTCCTCGAGTAGGTTGCTCTTGATATCCTCTTGATATCCGTATCAGAAATGGGATTGGTATTAGCCCGCTTTTCTGCCGAGAGGTAACGTAATCAACCACTCAACGCCCGTCTACACTCAACGCCCGCTATTTTGCCACCACTACAATGAAATCTTTTCATTAATATCTCAACAACGCAATTAGATTTTAATATGATATATTATATGATGAAAATATATATAGAAAATTACATATAAAAATATATAGCTAATTCAAAAGATGTTTGTTGGGCTTAATAACTCGCCCGGAACGCGAAATCTTGGGTGGAGGCAGATTCAATGAGCAGGCAGCGGTCAAATCCGTAGGGGTTGCAATATCATCCAGACCCCCCGGCGGCGGACCCGCGGGCAACCTGGCAGAGCTCTGAAAACGCGATTTAGCCACTCTTTGCGAAATCGAGGGTCTGATTTCCCGATTAGGAAGGTGATTTTTGGACCCCCGAACCTGGCCCCCCCCCAACCGCGATTGCTGCCGCGCAGCAGCTCGTTCTTCCTTTTCCTTTTGCTCTTGGGCCTTCTTTGCATCCCTAAGCTCCCTGTCAATCTGCCGTTGAGCGGCTCTTGCGGCCTTATCCATCTCCTTTTGCTCCTTAGCTGCCTGGCGAGCTGCCTCCCGCTCCATTCGCTGTAACATGATATCTGTCTCCTTCTGCTCCTTAAGAATAGCGTGTTGCAACTTGGCATCCTCCTTACGAGCCTGTTCATCCTTTTTGGCGGCCTCTGCGGCAGTCATCTGCTCGCGGATGCTCTGCACCTTTGCCGGTGAAAAGAACTGTGCCAATGACGGATTTGAAGAATCTAGCAACCCCATTGCCCTGCCACGCTTGCGACGTCTTCTTTCCTGATTAAGAGCTTGCTGTAGCTCCCTGTTCTCTATTAAAAGAACCTCTTTATCAAGAGCAAGATTCTCTCCTGCACGGATCACCTGGTTGAGATCGCTAGATATTCGACGCTGCCGCTGCTTGACTTGCTTGACTAATTTCCGCATGCCAATAATAGATGTAGGGGTTCTGGGTCGATATTGCGCATCTGGGGGGGTGCAAGGGCGTATTGCAAGCTTTTTAAGAACCTGTTCTGGATCAAATGGATGTAGGCCAACCGCAGCGAACGCGGATATAATATTTGAGGATGTAACTGATTCCTTCCAAGCAGCATCAAATAGCTGCCAAAAAGACCTCTTTGTAGTGCGTACAAATCCCATACCGGTTCTCATTCGCTCATTCAAATGCTTAGAATATGATTTGCTCAATGGTCCAAATATCCCAACATCTAGCGGTTGTAATCGGTGTGTAGAGTGGGGAGGAAAGACAGCAAGTAAAATCTTATGCTGAGCCGCGTAATTGATGAATGCCATATTAACATGGGATGAGTGGCCATCTAATATAAGAAGCCTGTATCCACGCCCTGCTTTCTTTTTTGTATGAGGTTCAAAGATCTTCTTTAACCACATTAACCCATATTCATCATTGCTCCATCCATTCTCTGAAGCAGCAAAGTAGACCTGATCCTTTTTGCTATCAAAATCTTCCAGCCAAGTATCTTGCATATCCCTTGATTCCCCTTGATATATGAGAGCAGGTGGGAGTGAGGTTCCAACGGCGCAAATTGAGGCAAGTAGTGTAATGAATTCGCGGCTGCCATCCTGGCTGGCACCTATTGTACGGCCGGATTTGAGCGCATTAATTGATACAATACGCTTGAGGGTGTGGATGAAGCCCAATAGGAATCCTTTTTCATCGAAGTTGTAGATATTCCCAGGTTCAATATTGTATTTAGTGATCTTTTCCTGTAGCTGCAAATCAACAATAAATTAGCAAGATAAAAGTAAGAAAAGCAGTAGAGAAAAGCAATATATACAAGATCAAAATAATGCTTAAAGTATGTAGAATTGTCCGCAATCTTGCGTTTTTGGTCGATATTTCGCAGGTAAACTGACTTGATTACATCCTTGTGGCGTTGACAGAACCTTGCCACCCAGTTGGCTCCAATAGGTTCTTTTAATATCTCAACAACAAGATTATGAAGGATTTGGGGCGTACAAGGGAAACCGCGATCTGCCAATCGATTGATATGAAAAAGGAGTCGATTTTCTTGCGAATCTGTGAGGATTTTGCGGTGGATAGAGGTTGCTTCCTTTCTTGACGTTTGAACACCTCTATAGCGCCGTGAGAGTGTATAACGACTGATTCCATATTTCTCAGCGGTCACAGTGTAATTAGGAACCAATTGGGCATTCAAATCATCAATCGCGGACAATATAACTGCCTCGTGGTGCATCTTGTGGGTGTTTGAAGATGGATGAAAAAATGAGGATTGGGTGGGCGTTGAGTGTAGACGGGCGTTGAGTGGTTGATTACGTTAGAGAGTTCAATCGAGGCTTACCTTGTGCATATTTTCACTGTTGCTGCTGCTGCTGCTGCTTCTTCTTCTTCTTCTTCTTTTTCTTCATCCTCCGAGGGTGTTTAAAAATGCGGGAAGTGTCTGGCGGTGGACTCCAACACTGCCGCAGCGCCTAAAAAGCAAATCTCGCCCAAGCATTCCAATTGTCCGAGATTCAGCGCAGAAATCAACCAGTAGCTCTAGCCAAGTGCCTATAAACATTGAAAATTCCACGTTCATTTTGTGAGCTTGATATTGCTATTCCCATTCACGTTGCCGGTCGTGTTCTTCAGATGTATGTACATGTACAGTACATACGGCCGGCGCTCTATGCCCCTGGTGCTCCTGAAGAGACCACTTCCTGCTTCTCCTGCTGAACTCATAGCCAGGTAGCTTGCTTCGTGTATTTGATTTCCCCTTCGGTTAGATATTCCCTCGAGGGAAATCAATACGGTTGTCTCAAATCGTGAATTCAGTGTTAATATTGTCCGTATGCACCCAGGATATCGTCATGCAGCGAGACCACAGTTCCCGCCTCCTGTTCTTCCGCAATGCCCCTTGAATTTTCAATGATTCCCAGTGACCAGGAGGGTTGCTGGGCAGGCCTGATTGATTGTAGCCACTGCTTCTGTTTTGAAAAGCTGTTCAGATAATAATACTACTACCCAGTTCATCTCCATTCGCGTCGTAGACCTGGTAGCTGGAGGCAGTCCGTTTCTTGAGTTCCGTTTCTTGAGTTCCCGTGTTACTCTATTCTCGACTTTCAACGCACTATTTACCAGGGGCTGGTGGAGATAGCGAACTTGCTGGAAAATTGGGTAAAAATGGTCCCGTTGAATAGCTTTTCTGAATGGTTCACAGGGAGGCTGGACACCGGCCAACCATTTTGTGATCCAGGACTTCGACAAACTACCACAATGGGATGGAAGATTAAATACTTTCAATCGACAGCCTATATTCGATCAAATATTCCAATCCGGAATTGTAGCACGGCAAGAGACGTGAATTATATGCTCAAGAAGTTCACAGGTGCGGCCCGTCGGCCATATCCAGAGTTTTAAGAATCTCTACACCCGAGATCTACAGTGTCCGAAGGTTTTGTTGGAAAATGTAAAACATATCTTCTGTCTGAAGCGCAGGATTTGTTTCAATTGCTGCCCTCATGTGCGCGGAGCGAGGTTGTAATGATTGATTTATATCGGCTCACAAGGCTCTTCGTAAGTAACGCGGATTACCTCCGAGCTCCTTCCTCTGTTTCCGGTAGAAATAGATCCGGGTTCCACAGTGTTTCCTTAGCGGCAGAAGTTGCAAGCATCTTTACCTGACTGTTTCTTTTTTTTTTTCTCTCTCTATCGAAGTCGCCATGGGCAGAAATTATTCCTCCAAAGACTTGTCACCAAGTCATCCGTCGAGCGGAGCCAATTCTTGGGTATCAGCTATGCCATTTGTGCAGAATAGACCATTTAAAATGGAAAGGGAGGCCGGTGTGATAAGATAAGTGCTCTGCTATGTTCTGCTTCCGTGGATTATTCCGCCAGTTCCTCTTCACTGTCGGCTGATATGAAAACCCGGTGGTCTACAGATTGCCAACTGCCTTCATATCAGTCATGTGAAAATTGGATATAACAATATTAATGTCCGGGGGCTCTTATGGGTTATAATATCTAGTTCCGAGAGGTGTTTTGAATATATTATCGTATTATAAGGATGATTGGTGCAAAAATGTGGGGAATTGTTGAACAGCATTGTTCCTTATATAAAATGAATCAAGGGATAAATGATAAATCTATCACTTTTAGATGGAGTTGATTGTTGAGATCCATATAAACAGTTTGTAGGAACTGTATCAAAGTGCAGGCCACTGAGGATAACCGAGATTCCAAGGTTCAAGATCCGTGTCCAGAAACAAAGATAATAAAAAAATAAAAGGCCATCTTCGGCCAATAATGCTTTGCCAAAATATAACCAACCCTCAAGAGAAAATGCATCTTTTCCCCCACGAGAATGGGCTGCTGGCTTGACAACTTCAAGTTCAAGGCCTTGGTGGTTCAAATCGCGGCCAACTGCCGTGAGCAGCCGCGGGGTACTCCCGCGAAAAGGAACACGCTTGAACATGGTTCCTGTATCTTGGGCCGACCCACCCCTTGGGGGTTGCTTTAAGGGTTCCGGGCCTGATGAGCAGAGAAACTTATTCCCCCATAGGCGCCAGCAAATGGGGGTTATGGGTGATCGTGGAAAAACGGCCGCTGGTTAAGGACGACAATAATCGTAACAAATTTAAAAAGTTGCCTGCAAGAGAAGGAAATAGCACACGGAGTACATTTTCGAATGTGCTTCTCATGGGTGGCTGTTTTTGTTTTATTTAGTGGTCTAAATAAGCTAACCGAACCACACGATTTTTCCAAGAGATTCCACCTGGCAAAAGGTTTGCCTCCGCCATTGCCTGGTTGCTGCTGTTCCTGTTGTGGAGCGGCGGCGGACTGGCGGACACTGTGGCGGGGCGCAAGATCATAGGTACACAGCATATAAATATATAAATATATATATACATTACATATCTCCAACTTCTCCAACCCGAAGCGCGTGGTAAAGTTCGCGGCTCAAACAGCTTCCTGTCATTTTGAAATACCATGTCTTCGTCGCTATTTTGCTCCTCCGCTTCACCGTTGCGGCTGTCCCCTCTCTTCCACCGCGTCCATCGCTGTTACGGGGGAACATATAACAGGTCGTGGCGACAACTATCAACATCCCAAGCTAACTTTCAAGGCCCCTCTCCCTCATCCCCCCCCGGCGCTTCCTATACAACAATCTCTACTAACCCTGCCCCCGCCGCCTCTGCCATCGCCTCCAAATTCATTTCGCGCTTCCAATCCCTCCCCCCTCAAACCCGCACCCAGACCCTTGACGGGAACCAAGTCCAACTCCTCTCCCTGACCTTGAACCGTCGCTCTCTCTACCCAGGAAGCCCAGCACTATCCAACGCCAGGGCCCCCGAAGCTGGCACTCCGATCCCCCCCGGTTACCACCTGGTATACTTTACACCTGCGTTCTTGGAAGGCGAGCTGGGTCTGGATGGCACTGACACGTCATACAACCCAGAGCCGCCGTTTACAAGGCGCATGTGGGCAGGCGGGGAGGTGCGGTGGCCACTCGGGCAGGATGGGAAAGTAAATTTGCTAAGGGTGGGACAGGAGGTGCAGGAGACAACGCGGGTGTTAAGTGCGGAGGCTAAGGTTGTGAAGGCGACCGGGGAGGAGATGGTGGTTGTTGGGGTGGAGAAGGTGTTTGAGAACGAGCATGGGGTTGCGCTTGTGGATAGAAGGTGAGTTTCCCAAGAAAGAATGAAAAAAAAGAAGGAAAATCTCCATGAAAAGACTTTTGAGATTCCATCTACCCCTGTGTTTGTGACGGCTTGATATAAGAGCGCGGGAAGCGGAAACGAAACGATATACTAACCATGAAAATAAATAAATATATATATAATTAAAACAAATCCAGAAACTGGATATTTCGAGAAGCACTCAAGCTCGACCCATCATCCAAAACACCCGCAGCAACATTCGCCAACGCTCCTCCCGCCATCTCCACCACACCCAAATCTACCGCGCAACCCACCTTCTCGACCTTGAAAGAAAACAACCGTGTCACCCACGCTCGCACTGTCTGCCAGTCAGCCGTCACCCTCCAGCGCTTCTCAGCACTTACATTCAACGGGCATAAAATCCACTACTCCCTCCCCTGGGCACAGACTATCGAGGGGCATGCTGGCCTAGTTGTACATGGGCCCCTCAATCTCCTCGCCATGTTGGACCTCTGGCGAGATGTACGGAGTGCGCAGCTGGAGAATCAGGGGAGGACGGGTGAGGTTCTTGTTCCTAGATCCATTGAGTATCGGGCGACAAGTCCGCTATATGCAGAGGAGGAGTATAAAATTGTTCTTGAGGAAGTGGAAGGCAGAGCAATGGGAGGCAATGTGAATATTTATAGCCCCAGAGGAGCAGTGGCAATGAAAGCGGTTATTTCTGCCTATGCTCTTTGAGCCCGGGTTTTTTGTTCTGTGAATAGAAAGGAGAAAAGAGGATTGGGAAATTGGGAAATTGGGAAAAAAGGGGGTTGTTGACGAATGTGAAAATATAGGATAGGGATAGGATAATACCTGTACACTGGTCTCCTCATATTAGCCTCAGATATTTTTTCTTTTCTTACCATGCAGAGAGTGACAAAAGGCCAGCGGCTACCGGAAAAACACCGATTTGGTAAATCTCGTAAAATTCTTATCTTCCATATCACTCTCGTCTCAGTCAATGGCAGGGCAGTGTTTCGAACGGTGCATCACCAAGCTGATGCCGTTCTCTGCTACCCCTCCTCAGTTCAGCATTCCATCTTTAGCGACAGACAAATATCACGAGGATACGCGTCCAGAGAAAAATAATATAAAATGATAACAATGCTTAATAGACACGCCACAAAAACGGCCCCACCTCCACAGGAAGAGAGCGTCCAGAGTCAATTAATCTCCAAATAGTAGGTCTCTCATGGTGTAGTTCCCCACCAATGTTGCATTCAAAGACCTGCATTGCCAGTGATAATACGCTTCCAGCGTAAATTGGTTAGAATATCTGCTTCATCCTCAAATAGACTGAGCGGATAATCCGATGGTTCCTGGGATGTGCGCTCCCGCGCTCCCGCTCTCTCAGGCAGGGGTTTCACGGCGGCTGAATTTGGTAGAAAACCTCTGTGGAACTGCCCTGTTTCATGGCTCGTTATCGCTTGAATTCGACGGCAGTTCCACTTTTGCTTCAAACGAGGGTCCTGGATCCAGTAAGGAAATTCCGTTCGGTATTGGGAAAAGGAAGTCCAGTGAACCATCATCAGGATGAAGAAGAACATAGTTAGTTAAGCCCACGACTGTGACTGATTACTAAGCTCTCCGTCTTGGCATCGCAGCGGACATTTGGCTGCGGAGGTCGTCGAGGTCCAACTCTACACTGCCAATTTGGAACAGATACCATATCTTGTTCTAATTTTTATATCCGCTTACCTTCTCAGCCCAATATCCTGCCAAACAAGCTTCCCGAAGCGCATGCGTCCGGAGCTCGAAACCCTCCGAGAGAACACCTCAGTCATTTAAGTACTTCAGTGAAAACAGAGCCCGAACTATGTGATAGTCCGGACGTAAACAAGCAGCTCCGCAGCTCGGTCATCTTAGATATACCTTCCCTCCTCACCTACGAGCCTCCCCATATTGTAAAAGAAAACCCTCTACTGTCCTGCACAAAAATAAAAGAGAGCAGAGGGGCCAAGGGAAGTTGACATCGGCCAACCCAAAAAAAAAAAAAAAAAAAAAAATAATGCGGCCTCCGAACCTCCTACTCATTCGCCGCCTCCGCTGTCCCCACGCCCACCCTCCTCTTTCTACAGCAAAGACAACAACCCTAATAAGCAGCCGCCGCTTCCACCTCCCCTCCCTCCCATCCCTCTCCTCCTTCACAAACCCCATCTCCCCCAAACCACCACCCCCGCGCACCCTAACCGCGACCCGCAACCTCGCGTTCCCCCCCGACCTCCTCTTCCGCACAATCGCCGATATAGACTCGTACGCCGACTTCCTCCCCTTCCTCACTGAATCGACAGTGACGGCCCGCGACGCGAGGACTGGGTACCCGACCACCGCGTTCCTGACGGTGGGATACGGGCCGTTGAAGGAGACGTTTGTGTCGCGCGTGGCGTGCGATGCGGGGATGCGGACCGTTGGGGCACGGAGCGGGCGGCGGGGCGACGGCGGCGGGACCGAAAGTGGAGAGGCGGGCGATGGGGGCTTGTTTGAGTTTCTGGATACGTTGTGGAAGCTGCGGGCGGGGGGGGATGCGGTGGTGAATGGAAATGGAAATGGAAATGGGAATGGGAATGGGAATGAGAGTGGGAATACGTATGGACGGGGTGTGGGGGTGACGACGGTTGAATTGGAGGTTCGGTTTCAGTTTCGGAGTGCGTTGCACGCAGCTGTGATGGGGGCGGTTGAGGACCAGGTGGCGGGGATGATGATTGAGGCGTTTGAGAAGAGGGTGAGAGAGTTGGAGAAGGCGAAGGTGAAGGCCGGTTGAGGAGTTCGTGCGCGTATGGCAATGAGTGTATGGTGAGGTGTTTTCTGAGCTACTTTCATCTTAGACGGGGTCAGTTGGGTTGGGGATATTCCTGGGCGAAATGTTCCTTGTTGTAGGGAAATCCATTCTGGAATGGCTTGGAAAAAGGAAAGGTATGGATAACCATCTATATCGCCAAATTTCTGACAGCACAGGTGATATGGGGGTGTAAATGTTTAGACGGACAAGGAAAAAAAAATGAACATAATGAGATATACATGTATAATACAGAATAGATAGACATAGAACCCAACCCAAATTTATTTTCGCATTCATATTCGGGTTCTTTAATTTGCATTTCCCGTTGAAATATCATCTTAGAACCTCACACCCCGTCTGTACGACGATCTCGCAGTGCCCGCGCGTGTCGAAATCGGCCCAGCTTGAGAGGAATTGTGAGCCACTTCGTCCCAGTTGATCCTATTCCACCATGATTCCAAAAACTGAGCTTTTCCTCCAACACCCCAGTCCGGAAGCCACACATGCTCCCAGGTATTCACACAGAGGATCGGATGAATGTCAATAGCACCAGGCGCCATGAACTTCTGGCTAGAATACGCACCCATGGACCCTACTCGGTTCGTCGGTGTGAGTTTTCTGATCTGCTCCAGGTTCTCTCCGCCCGTAATGCCGGTGGTCTGTGTTGCCATGTCTACGGGTTGGCGGCGGAAATGCGCAGCAGGGTAAGGGGAGCCGGCGATGTATGTCGAGAGGATTTTGAGTTGGCCGGTATCCTTTGATTTAACGAGCCAGACAAATCCCGGGCCGAACATGGCGTTGGCAGTTGCGAGGAATTCTGCCTTCAGGGACTCGACGGAGGAGCAAGAGTCTTCTATGGATTTGGAGAGATGTTCGGGGATGGAGACGTGCTGAGGTGACTGCATAAATGTATAAGGAAATGAAGAATTGACTGGTTACAAGGCATGGTCAAGCTTTTGAAGAAAAAAGAACGAGTGGATCTACTGACAAGACAATTGAAGAAGAAGTGGTTGTTGTGGGCCATGGAGGCATAGTTGAAAACCGATGCCATATTGGCATCGCGGGCGTATCTGACAAGAAGAGTGCCGGGAGTAGCAGATTCATCAGGTGTGCCTAGATATAACATATGTCAGATTCACAAAGTTTTCAATTAAAGCTTTTCTCACGCCATTGGGTGCCAGAATAATACCTGCTGTTAAAAGATTCAATTTGTTGATCAGGAAGCCCTGATATTGAACCCACGCCAGATCGAATCCCTGCGGCGATAAGAGATCAGGCACCCCATGCTTTTTGAAGGCATCATCGTGCCCTAATTGAGGGACATAGTGAGTTGATCTATTCTGCGGCTTTGTTCGAAGAAAGGACTATAGCACTGTCAGCAGCAGCTCGAGGTAGCGGTTGTTCATTGCCATACCAACGAGGAAGAGACAGCACGCAGGCCGGGCCGCAGCCGGAGCGAACGTTGCGGTATCATGAACGGAGAGTGGACTCAGACTCTAACCATTGCCAGGAGAGTGAGTCTGTGTAAAGTATGGATAATGTCAATTGTCGCCCGTGCAGGGTTCTGTGCATCTCATCTCAGTCCAACTGCTTCGGACTTTCTTCTCTCAAAGTCACGGGATCCAGAATTTGCCAAAGAATTTCTTCGATGCAAAAGGTGACTAGTATGGTTCGGGTCTAGCGTGGAATCCACCCGACAGCCAATCGCAGCTCGCGTTTGCCTTGAGCCGCCGACTTTCTGATACAGCGCCAAAGTTGCCCGATTCGGCTCTGGACCACCAACATCCAACCACGATCCAACTACATCCAACTACATCCAACCGTGACTCCAGCGTTGGTTTCACAGCCGACAGGTCTGCCCGGCCGAAGCGGTTCCTTGGCTGCAGGGAGGGGACTCCTGTGCCCGGGAGGGACCAGGTCGGGTCTCGATAGTCTCAAGCTTTGGTCTAGGTTGGCGGTTGGGTGGTTCAGCGTGTTTCGTGCTTCTGGGTCCGTGTCAGGGGTTAGCTGGCGAAACCTCTCTCCTTGCCGATGTTAGCCCTTTTTCACTGGAAGTTTCGTACCCAAGGGGGGGATGATTCCTTGGGCTTTGGGTAGTCAATTCTTTAGATCATGGCGCGTGGGGTCTGATTTGACTCTCGGTCCATCATGGAGGCCAGTGTTTCTTTGTTTCATAGAATTTCTTCCTCAATCTGCCTTTTTCTCTCTTGCTCTCTCTTTCGATCCGTTCTCTATATCTCCTCTTTCTTGGGATATGCTTTTCTTGTTCTTACGTTTTCCTTTATTCCAAACATTGTGATGTTTCGATTGAAGGCTTAGAGCTACTTCCCGACTCTCTCGACATTCAAGCGGCTATCACGTTTTCTCCTCCTCCGTCTTCCTCTCTCCCCTCCCCCACCACTCAATTCCATACGGCCTTCAAATTCGATTCTCTATCCCAAACGGCTGGCGTAAACACCTATGCTCCTTTGACAGGACAACCTGGCCCATTACCTCAGGATGTCGCTTCTATGGCATAAAATCATCCTCATCTCAAGTTCTTTATCATTGCTGGCACTGACACTAGCAATACCATTTACTCCTCAAGGCGCATTCGACATTGTGCAGCGCGACGGTGGATCATGTCCCCTTGAACACTACTCCCCTTGCGATGATCCTCAAGCTCCAGCCAACTTCTGCTGCCCACCAGGCACAGTATGCATTACTCTGAACCTGGCGGCCTACATGGTATGTTGCCCGACGGGCCACAACTGCTATAACATGACGCAAGCTTCATGTGATCCTAACGATTACGATCCTGAACGCTCTCCCCGATCCACTGCAAAATCGAGGAGACCTGATATGGGAATACCGAAATGTGGAGATCGTTGTTGTATTCCTGGCGCTAGATGTAAATCAGACGATGTGGGAAATTTGTATTGCCAGGTTTCGTTCCCGAACCTAGCATATCCGCCATTTCCAGAGGGCAAGGGTCGTATTCCCCCTACACTCCAACTTCCATCGACAGCATCAAAATCAGAACAGGTCTCCCAGACCCAGACGAGCTCGACCACTCAGTCTACAACCGAACCCCCAAATATAATCCCAATTTCAGATCTTCCATCAGTAGGCCAACAACCTACATCAGAATCTTCAGCCATTCACAATGTCAACCACTCAGAGCCTCTATCATCCTCACCGGAAGGATCCAAATTCCCACCCCTCGCAATCGTTGTCGGCCTTATTCCTGGTCTTGTAGCCGGGATTATCCTCGCGCTGATAATCATTCATTTCTATAGACGGCGCCAAGAAAAACGCTTCATCCCGTCACCCATGTCGAAGTTCAGCCATTTCCGTGAAAAGTCATGCGAGAAAGGTGTAGTCTCCATCTCCGACCCCATCCCTTCCACAGCGCAGGACTCCGTCCGGACAGATTTCCTCCGCCGCCAAGCCGCCGGCCTCGTGAAGGAAGAGGACGGCAACACTAAGTCGAAGTTTCGCCGGACTAGTGCGCGGGTGAAGAGTTTTTTTGGGCCAAGGCCTACAGCAGATGATATTGCGACTATGCCTATGTCGACTACGGCGCCTAACGACCGAGAAACCAGGGCGAATGGTGTTGGTGGTGTCGGCAGTGGTGATGGACGAGGAGTGGGGCGCGAGCCAAGTACAGAGAGTATAAAAGTTTTCAGCCCGGTACACCTACGGCCCGCTCAAATCGGGGATCCGTATCCTCCCGCTGGCAACGGCAGACCACAAACTACATTCTCCGAAATGATAGAACGGGTTGGGTTCCAGAGCAAGAACGGTAGTCCGTATTTTTCGGTCACGGCGACGCCGCCTCTCCCGCAACTATTAACGCCGCAACGCAGGGTATAGATATTTGGATTTGGCCCATTGCCCGCCATCGTTGTCTCCGCCAAGTTGCGCCATTGGGACAAAGGATGAGCAAAGGACTTGAGACCGAAGGATAAAAGACGAAGCAGGCGTAACAAGCTAATAATAGCATAATATTAAACACGGTATTTGCCGACAAAGCTTGAAGGACGGCAGAAGAAGTGAAAATGGAAAAGGGCTATAGATAAGGTGTTTTTGGTTTGTAAGTACAATCTAATTTGAAACTTAGACGAGGAGCAGGACTACAGGTTTTGTGAAGGACATAACTCCTGACTTTCCTTTTGGGGTTTTCATGGTTCCTCGGTGTTTATAGGTTGTCTCTCTCTTGTTTTTTTTATTGCTCCTCTCACCTATTTTTGAGTTTGGTCGTTGTAAGTATACGCCACATAGACCGCAGTGTTAGTACCTCATATACCCGTCCGAATCTTTAGCATATTTTGCTCTTGCTTCGTACAATCGATCCTAATTCGACAGACCAACAAGGCCTTGTACCTTCTCAATCCCCTTGTATCCATTTGCTTGTTTGTAGCTATTTATATCTAAAGCCTCGAAGTTTCCAAACATCGCTTTTCCTCCGTTCTCTCTTGTATAGCATCATTTACGCTCATCAACTTTGGACCCCTATAGCATCCGTTGATATCGTTACAACCTCATAACTCAGTTTCTGTCTCCAAAGGCGTCTCCTTTGGTTGCTCCGTTGTCCTATTGGCTTTCTAGTCTGAACTGGCCCCTCAAGATTTTGAATAAATATGAAAGAAAATGAAAGAAAAAAGAAAGGTTGAGAAAGCAATCCAACGATCTAAAATGCTCCATTAGATCTTCGAACCCGCACCCGACGATTCCAGCGCCCCCCATTCTTTGTCTACCATTGCATCAAGCGCACAATAACTTCAAGCAAGTGCCGCAGTACGATCCCTAAATATATCCGAACAGTACCATCCATAACTGCGAAGGGAAGAGACATTCTTGATAACTGTCTGGAAATTATCAGCCTGTTGATACAACTGTAAACTTGTATGACTTGAGACTGAGAAACCACCTCCGCGTCCGCCGTCATCCCCATGCCTAATTTCTATGCTATGCTACGCTATGCTACGGGGCACCTCTTCCCACCCAAAACTGAGTTGAGGCCCCCAAGAATGAAAGCTCAAAGAAAGTAAAAAAATACTCCTATATCTTTGTTGAACCCGTTGGTTGTGGCCCGGGACCCAACTCCCAACCCAAAATGAAACATAAAACAGATAGATAGAGTAGACCGGATATCCCTAAACCTGGTTAAACAAAAAGAAAGGGGGGTTTTTCTTTTTTGGTCTGTGATGGTATCTGCTCAATGCGGGGAAGTCTATAACCATATCTATCCGTTCCCCATCACTCCGCCCCACATATGCTCATCCTGTATCCACGCCATCTATTCCTTCAAACAGCCGTTGTTGCACGAAACGTGGCGGTTCAATTCAACGTAAATTTCTCCCCCCCCCCCCCCACCCTTCCCTCTCCCTCCGGCGGCCCCCGTCCCACCGCTGCCGCGGAAGATCACCAGGGCTTTTTGGGTGGGGGCGGGAGGCGTTAACTTGAGCTAGACAAAGAGGGTAGAAGTGGAGAGGATGGCGGATAGCTTTTTTTACTTTACCCTAGCGGAATGGGTGAGGTTGGCGCAGCCGCGATGAGGGATTGTCAGTTGTTGCTATTGGGGGCGGAAAGGAGAAAGGAGTGGAATAGCCGAGGACTGAACTGCCGCTGGCTGGTTTATGTTGGGTGATGGGGGGATGAAGGTGAGATGTTGGGTTTGAGAATTGGGGTTGGGGTTGATGTTGGGTTGGTTGATGAGCAGGGAAGGGAAGGGAAGGGAGAGCTTGAAGTGGTTGGTGGGATTGGCAATTTAGGAATACTTTAGGTAGGGGATATACATTCTACTTTTGGGTCTTTGTAATTAGCATATAGAAAGCGAGGGAAGAGGGAACGCAAATTGGAGGGGCTAAATCAGGTCAGTCCCTGCGATTTGAGCTTCATATATCTAAGTTTGCGTTCGATTGTTTGCGATGCATGTCCGACGACCAACGACCACGATGTAGTAAGCCATCAGAAAATGAGAAAATGGTTAAAATACACATAAATGCAGAGAGAAACGAGAAAAAATGTAAGAAAAGGAAATGGAAAGTTAGAAAAGATCTACCTAATCCTGCGCTGCCTCATCGCCAGAATTACTCTTCTCCCTTCTCTTATCAGGGCCATGACGAGCGGCACCCCAATCGGGCCCAGAAGTGGCAAGTACACAGCAACTTTATGTTCATCCGGGAAATACAACTGCCCAACCATGCTTTTTTCAAAAAAGCTACGCTCCGCCTCGTTCTCCGCAACGCGCGCGCTCGCTAACGCCTGTTTGAATCGGCCCTCACGCAACAGCTCACATGTAGCCGAGAGATGAGAAAGCGTGGTCGAGACGGAGTTCGCCACGCTGAGCGGGATGGGGATTGAAGCAAGAGAGCGGACAAGGCGGGCGAGGGAGCCCATGGTTGAGGATGCAGAAAGGAGGAGGGAGGCAGTGTGGATGCGAACTAAGGCTTGGAGGCGGAGAGGGAGGGATGCTGGGGAGGAAGGGGTGCCAAGGAGTGTGAGGAGTTGATGGGAGAATGTGGATAAAGGATTGCGGAGAGAGTCTTTAGATAGATGGGGTGGGTTTGATTTGGGATTCAGCGAAGGATCAAGAGGGGGGTTGAGGATGACCACTCCGCCCCATTGAGGGATGAGCCAGCTGGTGACACCATTTTCTTTAATCACGAGAGGAGATTGGCTTGCTGAAGGGATGTAGAGGATGAAATTTATCGTTGGGCCTTTGCGGATACTGGGGCTTAGAGGCCATTCCGCAGCGTTGATGAATGAGCCTAGCTCTTCTTTCTTCAATGTCCAGGCGTTCTGAGATTCATCGAATTCTGGTTGCGCCGCGGTTGGTGCAAAGTGTGCGTACACTTGCACCTGTGTGTCGATGGAGAAGTTGCTAATGGGCGAAAGTGTTCCTAGTAGCGGTAGAAGGTATTCTTGTAACGCTGGTTCGATGTCCCATGAGGATGGCAGTGGTCCTGGCGTGAAGAGCGAGAAGCTTAAATGGTACGTTTCAGCATATTTAAAAGAACGCGTGGTGCGACGAGCAATTGACTCCGCTAATTGGGGTGCCACGGATTTTATAGCTGCCATTCCTTGCTCTCTATTATTCACAGAAGGGCCCTGACCTCCTGGAATCGAGGGTTGAGGCGACGGACCAAACGTGTTGCTGCTTGACAGGATATATGCAATTGTCGCTTTCTCCTCATTGAACAGTTTCTGAACCTCTGCGGCAATAAATGTAGCGAGAAGTGAATTGAGTGTCGAAGTAGATGGTGCTTGATTGACTGGATAAAATATTTCCAGTTGTTCAGAATACGGATGTAGTTCTGAGCTAGGTACAACTACACCCTCCCGTGGGAGTAACCTGACATTCAGCGCTGCATTTTTTTTCTCCTCAACGTCTGATTCTGCTGTTGGAATAACCTGCGATGTCTCTCCTGAGCTCTGTGACGTTTCTACCAAGCGAAGCCTGAGGTGATGTGCGGAGAAATCATTCAGATCATCGAGAGCGTGTTGGGTGGTGCGAATAAGGTGTTCAGCATCCGGGGTGTTCATTGACGGAGCATGTACGAGAATCTGTAAGGGGAAGACCGGTCGACATGCCTATTTTGTAAGAAGCATCAGACTCGTGTTCTAAACGCCGCTAAATATATGTATATCGCTGTCCCTTAAAAGGCGTGCGCGCTTGGAGCCTACCTTGCCATCTGCCCAATCCTTCATCACATCCAACGGAAGTCTCGCCCTGTAAATGGACGTAGTCATCCACCACATGGGAAGGCCCAGAAATATTATAATCGCCCAAAATGCAGATATCACCAGTGTTCTCGTCCTAATATCCTCCGGCTTCTCGGGCGGGAGGGTCCGCTTCGCGCTGATCTTCATGGCTGGTTGATCTGTCATTCGCGTAGCGTTTGTTTTTGCGTCGGTAGAGGAGGCCCCCATCTTGCCTTCCTTTTTATTCTGCATTGTCAGGTCATGGTCCACGAAAATCGGGCGCGGAGCTGGCCGTGTTGAATTTGGCGTGTTGAAGATGCGGAGTTGTGAAGGAGAAGCGGCTAGAAGCTTGGTCCTCTGTGATTGGGTTGAGCCAGCATCGAGGAACACCACAAATCGAGAAAGCAAATATTAACCAACCATGAACTGAATAACTAACTAACTACAGTAATTGCTCTGAATATTAGCTTACGCGCTAGACTAGAGAGCAGATATAAAACGCATTGCGCGCAGATTGCTTTAATACGGGGCCAGCGAGTAGAAGCATTGTAGGCTCCATGTTCGAAGAGCAATGATATATATGAGCCATACAGATAGCGAGTTTACGATAAACGAGTTAATATTTCCCGCACTAGATATCTCGGCATTGGAGCGGGTATCACATCATTCAGAATATGCCAAAAACGCCTGTACCTTTATCAAGAGAAGCAAAATAACCAACCGGTCCGATTACACCAGAAATGCTAGATGAGGATACAAGATAAGCAAGCGCAAGACTCAGTATTCCTTTTCGAAAATCTTTTGAATCGGTTTTGCAGCCTGTTAAAGGAAGGAATGGTTAGCTTAATCTCATCATGGATATGAAGATTGACGGAAGATAAAATCCCGCCTCATCATTATTTCCAGAAAATATTGGAAAAAGGGATCTGACCGGTGAATATGGAATAACTCACGTCAATAAACCTCTCAAGGTCTTGGTCCAGGTTAGCCAAGTCATCTTTCCGCTTTTTGTTTTCTGCAATCAAGGCCTGCTTTCGCTTCAGAAGCTCTTGTCGGGCCTGCTCTAGTTTCTCGCGTTCTGCATGTTCGTGGTTTATGCGTGCAATCATGAGTTGGTTGGGATCGGCTTCTGCCAGCTCCGGATGAATAATTAGGAATTCCTCAACTGGTATTAAGGGAAGAGAGAGGTATTTGTGGCTGTTAATTGGGTATTAGTTAGAGTGGGAAGAGTTGCCAAAGAGATTCCGGGAATATAAAAAAGGTCAAGCATGGAGGACAAACAATACGCATATCAAAAAAATATGAAAATACGTACTCGTAAGATTCGCATGCCGCAATCTCCCCATTCAAATGCCTTTGTTCATAGTATAAATTCTGAAGGTGGAGGTGTAGCCTATCAATCTCTTGCCGCGCCTCCGCAGTGGCCTGTTTGGTGGCTCTAACACTCAGGATGGAATCGCGATTGAGTCCTCGAAGTTGTGATAGGAGTGAAAACACCAGCTTCTGTTGTTTTGATACGGATAAGATGAAATCCTGCGACGGAGTGGAGGGTAAGGTGGAAGGGTCAAGCATGGCGAGCAGGTTTTGGCATTGGGATAGTGTTTCAGCACTGGTCTGGAGAACGGGAAGGAGAGAAGGATCTGTGATGATTTCGCTAACCGGCATTGTGAAAAGTAGTCGGACTTTTATCCGGGAATCCAGTGGAGTTCGCGGATGGCTCATACGTGGAGTTTAGTTGTTGTTCGATGTTGCGGCGTGAATGGTCTTTCGCGGATTTTCTTGGCAGATTTTTGGTTCACCTCCTGACATCACCTCTTCACTTCTTCCAAGGTACGACACACACGATATGATATGATATGTCCGTTTGTCACTATTCAGTTTTCAAATGCGGTATACACAAAAAGTTACCAAAACAGTACTCCGGCTATATGAGGATCTAGTATGCTTAAGCCTCTATCGACAAATCCTCTCCTTGCTGATCTTGCACAAGATTTCTCAAGGAGTGGACAACCATGCAAGCCCAAACGCAGGCACCATTATTCGTCTCAAGAACCGTGTTGAATGTGATCCACCACCCAATGATCACTATCAAAGCATATCTACATAGATTAAACAATCCTTGGAGGCATACAGAGGACGTTATTTGGGGAGGTTTGAGCATTGAACGTCGCTCATCAGAATCTTCGCATAAGAGCGGCCAACCAACGTGTGTAAACGCGATATATTGCCCGTGAAATTGAATACAAAATCTATTTGTTTATACGTGTTGTTCACACACAGCAGAAGCCAAACAGCGTTTCCTTCATTTTGACGCGGCAATGCTTCACTGTTGCTAGTTTCAGTTTCCAGTCTCTAGTAATACCAAACTCAGCCGACTCTCAGGATTGTAATACTTTGTTCAAAAACCTTCTCTATCGAGGAAGTATATAACTACGTACCCTGGTAAACCAGCTTCACAAACCATTGAGCAATTGCTAGACTCGATGGAAGCATGAAGTTACTAGCAGCAGCATGGAGTGGGGTTGCTTGGCTTTGCTGCAACCGCAACACGGTTTGTGAAACTCTCCATCATAGTCTCTTTGAACTGCGGATATACTGTACATAGTTCTAACTCCGTGACGTTGCAACCGCTGAGGGGTTGACGAGGGACGGGTTTTATTATAGTTCACTGGACCCATGTCCCTGTGTCCATACTACTTTTAGCGTAGGACTGGTCAACCTCCCGTTGGGCCAGTAGCAGAGTGCCATGAATCAATGTGTGGTGTTAAACATTGAAGAGTGGGTGAGAGAGAATTTCAACTTATATGCATTAATTGATCCGTTTATTGATTATAAGACTGCCTTGACAAGTATTCATCTGCTCACCCCCAGGACCATTTCCCTAAAAACGCAACACTGCAGCATGCAATGATATTATCACTTGAAGCTCTCACACCCTGTTCAAAGTCCTATGCGACAAGGTAATCAGATAGTTATGCAATTGTGTTGGAAAAATGGAGGGGAGAGAGGTGCAGCAACCATATCAAAGCTGAAAGCCTTGTTTAGCCAGGCATCTGGCTCTACAGCGTTCATAGTCGGGGATATAAAATTTCTACCCTGGCAAATAGCAGAACTTCCTGGAAATACCAATTGTATTATCGTCATGCAGAGCACCCTTGGAGTAATCACCCATAATATCTATCATGGCGGACATGTTCATTCAAGTTCACTGGAGAAAGACAATTTACCAAGTTGAAAATTTAAGCCATTAGAGATCTTTCTCCCTTGTTCCCCCTTCTTCCCAGGCCATACTTGACCCAATTAACATGTTCTCTCTTTGCGCGTGGGGATAGCTGACCCGTCACTGAGAGGGAGAGAGAGAGCGAGAGAAAATCAGCCTTTCTCTATGAATAGCTGTGTATCCAATCAATGTGACTGGGCAGTTAGAATTGACACATGCAAGGTTATGTGCCTAACTAATGCAGCTGTCGACACCTCAACTCGCCCAGAATGCAAAGTGCTGGGGATAATTGATATCGACAGAGAAATCCACAGATAGTCGGCTATTTATCGTCGACAGCAATATCAGAGAGAGCATGATGTCACTGCAGCCAACCGCTCGTTGCACAGCGATTGCTCTGGAAGACGCAGCATGACGCCCGTGGCAGAAGACCCTCAACATAGCCTGAGACGTTAGGTATACGGCGTAACTCAAACCGACAGGATAATGGGGCTTTGCGAGAGTTTCCTTTATCGCTCAATCTTCCTTAGTTGTTATAACAAACTCATTAAGATGCTAGGAAGTTAAAGATTGAGTTCTCACCCGAAATCGATTGGCTTGATCGGGATACTGCCAAGAACCGTGTGATGCGCCGGCGTTGGCTAGTGCGGCGGTGGTGATCTCTAGCTCCATCCCCGACAGCTTGCGAGCAGGCCTTTTCTTCGCCCGTTTCTTTTTATTCCTAGTTCTGCAACGATTCCCCACCCTATCTCCTCCTTTTGCGTTGTTTTGTTTCTTCTCTCCTGTTGTTCCGCTCCTATATATCCCCTCTCCGCTCCTCTAATTAATTGCCCGCTACTTATCATTCTTGCTCATCTGTCTCATCCACTCACGCTCCCTAGATCAATTTCCCATCAATTTCTCCTCCCAAGTCTATCTTTAATTCCCATTTCATCTGTAGCCTTATTAATTGAGACTGTGATTGCCGCTCCTCTTGCCCTCGTTTTCTTACTCACCGACGTTTACGTGTACAAGTCATATCCCGATACCTAAGAGGAGCCTTCAACGTGACCCCCCCCTCCAGCCTCGTCCAACCCGCCGCCTCCTGGGATTCATCATCGTCAATCAAGCACAATAATGGCTTGTACAGCCCCTTCCGTGACTTTTAAGTCCTACGCATACCTTGACCCAGTCTCTAATGCTTCCGGCCTGGCAACCCCGGACGAACGGTCCGGTTTCATACGCAACAGACGGAGACGACACTCCTTTCATACCAATAGGAGACTATCCTGCGATCATGATGCTGACGCTATATTCTTGCGGGTGAGTTACATGTACACATCCGCCTATAGAAAAGGGGAAAATTCATTTGAGCTGGCGTCGTTAATATGTTCGTCATTCTTTCGTTGTTTTCTAGGTCGAATTATTCCTCGCAGAAATGGAGCGGCGGTTACAATGGCTGGAGGAGTATCGACAATCACATATGACCCATATCGATGCAAGACTAAGACGAGGATATGCCGCTCTAGTTTCCGTGCGGGATTCCTGCTCCCATGCTTCCGGCGAGCTGATGGGAGGCGGCAAGCGAAGAGCAAAAATCCTGGTAGAGACGCTGGAGGAACGCTATAAGGAGGCTCTGGCAACGAAGGAAACGCTCGAACAAAAAGCCCAGGCCAGTATGCGTTTGATGGAGAATTTTCTCGGCGAGCTTGAGGCCGGTGCGCAGGCTGTGCGAGATCGGGGTCTGTATGGAACTTTGGACGACGGATGGCGCGCTGTGGAGCCGGGCCTCACGCATGCCCGCGAGGTTATGGATGAGAGCGTCGAGCGCGCGCGGGAGGCTCTACAAAAGAGCATCGAACGCGCGATCCAACTAGCCAATGAAAAGCGGCTAATCCAGTACTCCGACCTTCCATACCCTTGGAGGGTCAACCCGCACATCTTGCAGGGTTATCGTTTCACGACCTCCAAGATCGAATGTGTAACGTCCGCATTCACATTCTCCAACGAACTCTTCAACATCTGGTCGCACCTGATTGGCCTGCTCATCGTCCTCGCCGTGGCCTTCTACTTCTACCCTTCCAACCCGAACTTCTCCCTCAGCACCAAAACTGACATCGCAATTGCTGCCATATTCTTCATTGCCGCCTGCAAGTGCCTCGTCTGCAGTACGCTCTGGCACACAATGAACAGCATCGCCTCACAACCGCTGATGGAACGCTTCGCCTGCGTCGATTATACAGGGATATCCCTGCTCGTCGCTGCCTCAATCGTCACTACAGAATACACCGCCTTCTACTGTGAACCAACCTCCCGATGGATCTACATCATCACGACCTCCACATTGGGTATCGCCGGCGTCATTCTTCCCTGGCACCCTACCTTCAACCGTGCGGACATGGCATGGGCGCGCGTTGCGTTCTACGTGACCCTCGCAGCCACAGGCTTCGCCCCCATCGCCCAACTAAGCCTAACAAGAAGCCTGGGATGGTGCTTGTACTTCTACGCACCACTACTGAAAAGTCTCGGCGTCTACTTGTTGGGTGCAATGATATATGCGATGCAGATCCCCGAACGCTGGCTCCCTGGCTTCTTCGATTACCTCGGTGGCAGCCATAATATATGGCACGTTGCCGTGCTTGGGGGAATCCTGTTCCACTACGGGGCCATGCAGGATCTTTTCACTGGTGCATTCGTCCGTGCGGAGGGTGAATGCCCGTCTCTGACGATGTAGCTAGATAGATAGATGTATAAATGTTTTGTCGGCTCATCGTCCCTCATCGGTCTATCTGTCTGTCTGTCTTCCCGGATCTGGTGTGATTCCTACCTCTCTCACCAGCTGGTAGGAGATGGACGAACGGAAATGGTAGAGCTGGGAAGAGTTTCAGAGGCCCAGCGAAACCACCCCTGATATCTCCAGGGCCTTCACCTCCAAAGAGACACATTACACACTGGCCTATGTGCTTATGTGCATTGCAGGATTACCCAAGTGGGCAAATAACACCCCCGAAAATATCCATCCCAAATTGACTGAGTGGGAGATACCGGGCGTGTGATTCAAAATAAAACACGAGCCATCCCAAAAGAGAATATTTATGGAGATGTGGTCAATTCGGTGCCTCATTTCATTTCTCTTCCCTCCCCTTTTCCTTTCCCTTTTTCCTTTCCTTCTATGCGCAGGCGCAGAATGGATCAAAATAAAACACAGGGGAAGCAAAAAACAAGGGAAAGAAATAAGAGTAAGGGAAAAGGAACAAGAATGAAAAAAAGTTCCATTCACATTAGACATTAGATGGTCGTTGACTCTTATTTTCAGCTGCATGAAGCACCCTCACCAGAGAGGCAGAGGCGGGAGGGAAGAAATGAAACGTTAATAAATAAATAATTACTAGTTGTTGTCTGTGACATGGACTTTTATTCGTCTTTTCTTGTTTGCGAATAAAGAGGAAAGAATAGAAATAGATGTTGATAACAGAGGCAAGATCCCAACCCTGGAAGAGCCCTAGGCACGGGTACACACCTATCGATATAAATATGTGCCTTCTGGATTGCATGCCTGTTATATAGAGGACAGTACATTAAAAGAAAATATAAGATACAATAAAATCATTGACTAAAATCCAGCGGAGTCCACGTGATGTGTTTTCAACTCCCACCAAGCTGAATCTTTTTCTTCTTTGACAATCGGCTATTGTATGCTCATCGTTTGTACAGTACGTATGTCTCCGGCGCCCTCTCCCGTGCAGTGCTACCCAACGTCATCCATGCTGCGCATCCGGCTATCCAACGAGGGAGAAGAACGCCATTACCCTTATCATCTCCTCGCGCGAAACCATCCCCCTCGAGGGATCTGACAGTGCCCGCCACCTTTTTAAGAACAGAGAGAGATACGAATCAGCTCTCCCATAGCTCTCCCTCCATCCCATAAATAAATAATAACCCCATGAGCTATCCCCACGGCATCTGCGTCGTCCCAGGCACCTAATTTGGCATCAGAAAAGACCGGAAAAAGAAAAACCATGCTAGTGAGTACAGCGTCCTGTGTGCGCCCTTTTCTGTGGTGCTGTTGTTGTTGGGCTCGGGATAGATTTTATGACTGATATTCTCAGTAGTGAGTGTTTTTCTCTCTCTTCATGTTGAGAGGTATGTAGCTCTCTCTGCATTGATATTGTCAATAATATCCGTCCTTCTCTTTTCCCTTCTTCATCTGTTTCATTCATTTCCTTGCCTTGCTTTATTCAAACCAGTTCTTTACGTACCGTTTCATGTATATTGCGTGTCTGCGCTATTCTTGCAGCTGCCGTTTTCTTGCAACTCCTTTGTACCGGTTTGTATTGTCAAGTGGTGGCCGCTCCCACATATATATGCGGGTGCATGTACTGTACAGTACAAGTGCAATGCAATAATATATGTACATTTCAACGCCTACACTACGCAAGGGCAGGCGTATGCATGGCACAATGGCCCTGACTTTAGATTTTGTTCATCCATCTGATCTGTGTATGAGCCAATGGCTGTGCATGCGGGGAAGAGGAACGAACAGCAAGGGAAGAGATTGGATTTCCGACCCGCAGGGCGGGAAGCGAGAAATATACAAGACTAAACATACGTGCTCTGTGCTACATGCTTCATGGCGTGGAAGAGATTTTCCTCCAACTTGCTAGGATTGTTAGGTCAGAGAGAAAGTTGAAGTGAGACCAGAAGAAAGCAAGACCAGCAATGCACAAGGGCTAAGTGTTGTGGGTTGAACGGGTAGTGTTGTTAGATAGTGCATGCACTCTTGACTGCGCATCTTTTCTTTTCTCTATCATGGATATGGCCCGCTACAGGGGGTGGTGGCCAAATAAACTTGCTGAGCCATGAATGGATGGATGGGTGGATGGATGTGTGTGTCTAACTTTACTCTTCTCTTTCGCAGATGGATGAAGGATTGCCAACGACGAGTACCACTGGGCAGTCGGAGTTGCAAAACCAGAGCCAGGGGGGAGGCTGGAGCCAAGCCTTGCAGAGCATTGCGGTATGTTGAATTTATACGTTTATTATCTCTGCTGCACCAACCAGATCAGGGGGGCTTCTGTGCCCAACTTTCCAAGCCCCTCCATTCCGATACCGAGACATGGGCAGCCATGCATTGAATGTGCAGATCTACATTAATAGGGTATGAACAAGCACACACAGTTTATATTTGTGGAGAGGAGGCACGTTATGCTGTATCTGGACTGACCTTTGGACGTTCCGGATATCAGTGCATACTGTTGACACACAGGCGTGGATTTCACACCTCTTTTTTTCTTTTTGCAACATCCATCGCCATCTTTTATGGAAAAACATTTCATGGAGATTTATACTGATCGTTACGCTTTCTTCTCCTTTGGGAAAACAGTGTAATGAGTGCAGGCTTCGGAAATCGAAGATGTGTGCCCGTTCATGTACAGTGAAGTCCGTTTTAGATATCCTGGGAACAGGGTATTCAGCTTGCCGAGGCTTTGTATTATGTTTTGATGGATATTGATAGATATTCGTCTTGCGGGTTCTGGATAGTGCTCGAAAGAACGCCCAACATGTTCGCTGTGCAAACAGTTGAAGAGAGAGTGTGTGTATAGTCCCAAAGTTGTTCGGACTCCTTTGACGCGCCAGTAAGTTTTCTTTTCCTTTGTGACACTCATGAATGCAAGACCATTAGAGGATTTATGAGATGAGGTTGACAAAGTTGTTCCCAGAAACCTTACATATGCTGAAGACCGCATACGAAAGCTTGAGGCAGCAATTTCAACATTGTTACCCAACGCAGACATCGAAGCGTTATTAGAATCATCTTCCTCTAAACAGTCAGAAGGCCAACGGCGACAAGAACCGGAACTCGATCAAAAGCCTGTCTCCGTGGTTGTCCCTAAATATTTTGCGGTAGCTACAGAACCTTCGTCAGAGGCCCTTCCTCAACTTGCAGATGGGTTCGGCTGGGCTGAAAGGGAACTTACTCTCACCGAGCTATCAGATGGCATGGCAGCTCTTTCGATCCGGCCTGAAGGCGCTGGATATCTTGGTACGTTACAACCCGCCCGACATGTTTCCCAGTGGCATAATTAATGCAACCGCCTAAAAACTAACACCATGATTTAGGTGGTCCTTCAAGCGTTGCGCCACTTCGAGCACTCCTTATGGGTGGTTGGGATGTCAATTCTTCCACTCAATCAGAGGCAGCGGGTAAGGTTGCGCTTGATTCCCAATCAATGATGTGGCAATCGACGCATCCCGGAATCGCACCTTCACAAATTGTTGCTCAGACGGTGATGGACGCATATTTTGCCAACTACCACACGAGTTATCCATTCCTCCACGAGGAAACATTCCGAGCTCAGTTCGGCGAACAAATCCCTAGGCCACGGGGCCATGCATGGCCGATCCTTCTTAACACGGTTTTTGCCCTTGGTGCCTGGACCATCGGAGATGATACTGTGGATATCCACGAAATTTTTTACAATGAAGCCAACCGATACTTGCAACATGTGTCAGTCTTTGAGATAGGGAATTTAGCATGTGTACAGGCGTTCTTGCTCCTTAGCAATTATACGCAAAAGCGTAACAAGCCTAATACTGGTTGGAATTACTTGGGCCTTGCGATACGGATGGCGTTGAGTTTGCGTCTCCATAAGGAGTTTCCAGAATGGAATATTAGTTTGCTGCAACGGGAAATGAGGCGAAGAGTCTGGTGGGGTGTGTTCATTTTTGACAGTGGTGCATCCATCACATTTGGAAGACCGATTCTCTTGCCTGATGCGAGCATTATGGATGCGAAGCAGGTGCAGAATATCCCTGATAACGTACGCCTATGCTTTTCCCAACTGCTTTTACCAGGAGCTATATAACTAACATTGCATCCAGGCTTTGACAGCGTCAACGGAAGCCGTACCGCTTGAAACGGATGAGCCAACTCTCTACTCAAGCCTAATCGCCCAAGCGAAATTCCATCTAACAACCAATGAACTTTACCACCGCCTTCTATCAAACCGCAATCTCTCAGCAGAAGAAACCTTAAAGCTGCAGACTCCCATTGACGACTTCCTCTGCTCATTACCATCCTTTTTCGAACGTGATGATAGTCACCGTGACGATTACAGTAGCAATCATGAGAGCTCAAATTTGCAGCTCTCACCTTGGTTCATATTTGCCAAGAAGCGTCTCTCCTGGCGCCGCTGGAACTTCCAGATAATCTTATAGCGTCCTATTTTACTTCTCTGGGCCACACAAAGATGGAAGCAGACGGGCCAGCCGCAATTTTCGTTTCCTCCCGATGTTGCAACTGACTCCAACCAGCCACAATCTGCAGAGGAGGAGTGCAGGATGCGTTGTCTGCAGGCTGCACGGGCAACGATCAAGTCGATATCGGGATATATGGAGATGAATCCATATATGAGGTTAGATGGGTGGTATATGCTGTAAGTACTAACGAGGCTAATAGACGCATACCCGCTAATCACTCATATTGGTATGTCCCTAACATCACGTAGTTATTTCCTCTTTCAAGCTGCCTTAATCCCCGTTCTCTTCCTTATAACAACTCCGACATCCCCGTCTGCTCCTTCCTGGCTCTCCGATATCCAAAGTGTCCGTTGTCTCCTGTCACCACAAAGCTCCTTGGGCAATAATAACCACCTAGCCGCACGCTGTCTGGAAGTCATAAATAGACTTTGCGGACCGCTCTCTTTTCCCTCGCCTTCACCACAACCTCTTCCCACAGGATCAGCATCAGGATCATGTCCAACCTTCAGCAATAATAGCAATGGCAATCACAGACAATATATTAATAACAGCAACATCGCATCTTTTCCGCAACAAGTGAGCGCAAATTCTGCGAAGACCGGAGCAGGACCCTCGGGCAGCAATAGTGCCGCCCAACATGATGATGAGAGACTCCGTCATGCATGGGAGGCGAATATGGCTGGTATAATTTCGCAGGAGATGGGCTCGCAGAATCAGGATATGATGTTCAGCGATGCGTATTCGTTCTTCGCAGGCGTGGCTGGTAATCATGAGAACTTGAGAAACTTTGGCGTAGTTCCAGGAGTGGCTGCTTTCGATACTAGCCGTGCTTCTGGTTCTAGGCCTGATCTGCTTGGTGCGGATCTGGTGGTCCGCAGGCTGATATTAATCAGGCAGGCGGTACTAGCGGTGGGAGTAAGGATATCGCATCCATGGAGAATGCTGCAGCTCGAGGTGGCAGTGGACCTGGCCCCGCTGCTGCTGCTGCTGCTGCTGCTGCTGCTGGGATGGAGTTTTTCGATTGGATGGGCTTTGGCGCGGAAGGTGGTGTGGAAGGGAGGAGGTATATTTAACAATTTTTTCATTCTCCTTTCTCCCCATAACCCGAGGTCTACAAAAGTAGCAAATCAAAAATCATCTGGACAAGGGAGTATTTCTGGACTGAAATTGTACGAGTATATGTACATACATGTACCTACATCTCTCTCCAATATCATTTATATACCCGCAGTCGTCGCATGGTACAGAAATTAAAACCTTCAAAATTCCAGGTTACTTCGACCTTTTTAGACATTTTCCACCCTCATCTCCTCGTTAAATAGACTACCTTTCAATGCCGCTGCGCCCGGCAGTGGCGTCCCGCGCAGTGCTGCCTCAATCTGCACGACACGTTGCTGCTCTTCATGCGCAGCCGTGTCGCCAATTACTAGGTCCATGTCCTCTAGCGTCTGTTTGTTGTCGAACAGTGGGGGTTACTCATTTACTTTCCAAATATCTCACAAAATATCAGATGGCACTTTGGGGGATGCGCTCCAGATGGGCTTGACAGGTGACAGGTAGACATGCTGGGTGGGAAAGGGAGAGAGTGTGTGAGGAACACGCATGGAATGAAACCAACGAAACAAGACATACCTTCCCTCCCGTTTCAGGAATGACAAGAACGTGAATGCCAGCGCAAGCAGACAGAAGGCGGCGAAGAATATATACGTACCCCAAGTTATGCTTTCGAGCATGTCCGGGGTAACGAGACCGATGATGCTATGGGTTGAGGTAGGAGGGGTTTGTTAGTGGACGGTTTCCCATGTCCTGCACATATATATGGCTGACAAATTACACATCCAGGTTGTCGAGGTGGTTATCGAGATTGCCTTTGAACGGATGGAGAGATTGAAGATTTCGGAAGGGAGGACCCAACCGATTGGTGCTGCTGCGTTGGGTTTCACGGATTAGCATCTCAGATTTTCTCTCATACAACCAAAGATTCTCCAAGTGGGATAGTTGAGTCGAACACATGTACCTTCATACTATTTTTGGCAACAAAAAGGGTGAGGGAGGGGATAGGAAGGGTAGAAAGTTTAGATAACGTACCAAATGAATAGGAAAAATTGATATCGTAGATGTATATAAATGCAATGCCGGCCCAGCCGGCACCCGCATGGTCAACAAGAGCCGATCCGTAGTTGCCAATAATGGCTCCTACGATGACAAGCGAAATGCAGGTCCCTGTGGCACCGCACATGAGAAGAACCCTGCGGCCAACCTTGTCGATCCAGAAGAGAGCCGGGAGGGTGCTGAGACAGTTGACAATTCCGTAGACGCCCGTCGCAAGGAGTGAGGTCTGAATGGTTGTATGGAGCTGTTAGAGAACAAAACCGGTATTGTTTGGGATGGTGATCTTGTATATCTGAAGGTTTTTACCGTGTTTCCATCCAGCCCTAGCTGGCCGAAGATTGTAGGGGCATAGTAGATCATTGCTATTGGGGTTCTCTTTTGTAAGCTTCTTGCTCTAGCTGCGGTAAAACGGGGCTGGGGGGTTCCATTGCCAACTGACCGTTGCACCCCATAAATTGCTGGAAGAACATAACACAGCATCCAATCGACAGACGCTCAAATCTCGGCCAGGTGCTTACAAGGGAGTAATACTGGGAGAATGTTAAGTAATTCTGCTGTTCGCAGCTTGACCGTTAGTTACGGAAATTTACATACCTGGGCCGCATGCAGCTTTACGCCGCTCATACCAGCATATTTCTGCGCAGCAAATGTGTTTTCAACGATCACAGAAGCCTTGATTTCCAAATACTCAGCCACCAAAGTTGGGGCATCTGTCGGCTGCCGTCGAAGTTTCCCCAAGGTTGCAAGCGCATCCTCGTCTCGGTCTTTCATGAGTAGCCATCGGGGGGAATCGGGGAATAATATCATACCGGCTCCCAAGATAATGGCAGGAATGATTTGAAGGGCGAATGGAATCCTCCAAGAAGCATCAGACTGGCCGTCGCAGCCGTTTGGATCTACATCATTATATGGATCAAAAGCAGGAGAGCTGGGGTTCCCGCCTGAGTGTGGGATGTTGGGAGCACATCGCGAGCCGCCAATATAATTTGTGCCGTAATCAATCCAATAGCTGAGGAGAATACCCACGGTAATAGATACTATAGCCAGTAATGTGAGAAATCGTTCAGGGTAATTTATCCGAAAAGAGAGCTGGCTTACACTGTTGGAGAACTATAAGCCCACCCCTGCTTGCTGGCAACGAAACCTCACTGATATACAGCGGAACAACCATAGTCAATTGCCCAACTGCGAACCCAGCAACTGCTCGGCCTGGTAATGGAAAGATAGCATTAGCACTTCATTCACCTTCGAAAACAAAGGCGCATGTGTAATTGCACTTACCTACAAAAAGCATCCCTAGATTGACAGCTCCGGCTTGAATGGCGGAACCCACTAAGAAAACAACAACAGAAACGATAATGGACAATTTCCTGCCAATATAGTCTGCGAAAGGACCATTCACCAATGAACCGAGCCAGGCAGCTGCACATTGTGATTAGAATAACTAGTCATGTTTGCCCATGTCGCGCCTGGTTTGGAAAACAAATCTATCAGCGCATACAGCAGATTACTTACCCAACAACAGCGTTGACACAAACCATCCTTTAAAACTACTATCTGAATATATCCTGGGGAATAATGCTCCAAAAGACTCCATCGTGAGTACTCCTGAGACAACGCCTTGGTCATAACCAAAGAGAAGGCCACCGAGAGAGGCGAACTAGAGCAAAATTAGCTATAGGACATCAACAGCAACTAGATATTTTCTCTCACGAACCAAAGCGACCCCAAACAAATACGGATTCTTGAAAATCACATGGAACCCCCCAGATTCCGACACAGGAGCTTCCTCCGGAGGGGAGGCATCCTTACTGTGGATGGCTTGTTGCGCCATCAAGAGCGTATTGATGAGGAATTGACGGTTTCTCCAGATCCGAAAGGCTTCTTTGAGTCGGCGAAAACAAAAAGCAGATGGCGATAAATTGAAGAATGTGATAGCTAAATGTAAACCCAGAGATGAGGTGTGTAACAGTTAGGAAGCCATTTTTATATAGCCTCGCAACCCCCCGAATAGCAACAAAATCTCTCCAGGATTTCCACTCCGCATTACAGCCGGCCTACCGTCGCACAACAGTACGCTATTGCCAATATCCGTCTCTGGTCGGCTCACTGAGCTCCGGCGTCCCTCGGACTGTTGTACTCCGAGTTGTCTAGATGCAGTCATCTTTCTCGAAAAAAAAAAAAAAAGAAAACTAAGCTCTCTAACATGCGTTCATGTTCTCTGTCTGGACTAAATGGCCTGTTAAATCTCCGGGGGGCGGGGGATTAGGTGGGAGATCAACGTCGTTGGAATTCCCGCAGAATAGCATGGGCATAATGCATTTATCGGCATCCCGCGAAGGTGGTGAGCCCCGTAAATTTATCATCTAATAGAACTGTGATTGACCGGTTCTAGAGATAGGTACTAATCACCAGAGAAGTATCCCTGCATTCTCTCTTTCTCTCTCTTTCTCTCCCTCTCTCTTGTTTTTCCTTTCCTTTCCTTTTCTTTTTTTTCCAGGTTGCAAGTAGTGCAACAAAACATTTGACTGCATTATGTGAGCCAGATTTGTCTCCATGAACAGGGATTGAGGAATTTGGCGCGATTGGGATTGGTGATGTATGTGTCTGGGGAGAGATCAAACCATTGCTAAAGCCAGTGACGACACTCGCATTGACTGTCAGAGAAAAGGTAATTCTGTTCATTAATTAGATTTATGATGATTGAAGTATATCTATACTCTATATATATTCGGCATCTATTATCGTAGGACACCAGTTTCCCAATAAAAATTTCATGACAAGTCACGTTTCGTAGCGAATTCAATATATGCTTGCAAACTGACCGAAAGAGGATCCGGACGGAGTGTGACGTTAGGGGATAGATGCTCGCGTTGGCTGGTTTGGCCTAACTCCGATCAGTTATTGGTTGAATGAGAGTGTAAAGTGCTATGATAAAGGGGCAACCTCGATTCACACAGTTCCTCTCCATTAACTCCACTGCTATTGCTGTAATCTGCGGCCATGGGGCCATGGAAGTCTGGGTGATCATGGCCAGAATCGTTAACATGGATAAGGGTATAAATCGAGTTTGCATAATCGAACTCGGCGTGGATACTCCACTCCCCATATGGCCATGATTCTAAATGAAGAGTCTGTCAATGATGACAGCAGGCTAGAAACATTGTGACCGCTCAGTTAAGCTCAACTTTCTCGGTATCCGGGCTGGAAGTGCTGGACTGCAATTTGGCCTTCTTTTTCTGAAAACGCCCTGCATCCAGCATCTGTACATTTTCAATTTCCGTTGTCGATTAACAATCAGCCGCTGATCAACTCCAAGTGCTAATATTTCAAACCCGGAGTCATCCGGTACATCCGGAGCTGAGTTCGCCGAGTCTGCGGCCCAGCTTTCATTACTTTCGGGAATTCCAGTTTCAGGGCTCCATCGACCCCAGATATGGGCTAGTTCATCCTTCTCAAAAAAGTATACTCGCGTTCCATCTCCCCTCACATAAAAGTTTTCACCCATCCACCGCCCACCCTTAAAGCGCACCTGTGCGAGATCCCCCTTTCCATAATCCCTGAAAAGCACATGTCCACCTGGCTTCAGAACCTGGTGAATGTTCCTCAACGCACGGCACCACTCACTAGGAGAAAGGGCGGAGAATATAAAAATCATCACGACCACATCAACAGAGTCCGGCCCTAGGCCAGGGGGGAAAGAATCCTCGCCCTCAGCCGAAACATCCCATACATCCGCTTGCATATACCTCTCATCGTAATGCTCAGCCTTGCGGATAACCTCTACTGCTTTTTTTGAGTAATCGCATGCATGCAGCCTCAGTTGCTCATTCTTATTATTTGCAAGAATGGGAAACGCAGAATTGCCCGCACCAGCGCCAACCTCCAAAATAACCTGAGGACCCGCGTCGGCTTTGCTCACCTCTGTTAGGATAGGGAATTCCTGGTGGAGCCATTTGCGATTCTTGAAGAAATTGCTCGCATTGTGTTTGTAAAATAGATTCCAAAATTTGGAAGGGTTCGCGTTGTACTTGTCACGAGCTTCTTCAGAAACAGGGGATTCTTTCTGCCTTAAGTATTGAAGTTCTGCATACTCGCGGTAGTCAGCGTCAGTTTCAACATGGTCCCACGCGTTGAATTCAAAAACATCGTCGCCTTCTTCGAGATAGCGCGAGCCGAATTGGAAGGGATCTGTTCGTTTCTGATTGTTGGCGGGGTCGTGGGATCGATGGCGGGGTACTGGTTGAACCGCTCGCGCGATGGCTTCGTAGTCATCATTGCCCTGGAGTTCTAACGGAGCCATGGGCTAGGAATCTTCGTCTGATATTAAGGAGCGTGACAAAGAGTACTAGCAGGCTGAAGGGATGATGAAAAGTCAAGCGGGTTTATTTCACGAACTCGAAGTCTTCAAAATTACAGCGGACTATTGTTTATCCGCGAGGCTCAAATACGCACTGCAGCCAATCGGATGGAGCTTCATCCCCCGCATTCGTGTTACGTTACGTTTAACTGAAACGTAAATACGCAAACCGCCGTAAATTACATTTCATCCAATAAAATAACCATGCCGGGAAGGTAATGGGATTCCAGCCGTGTAATGTATTGTAAACCAAGCCTCTGCTGAGGCTGAGCAGAAGCGAACCAGACCATCCAGAACAGGGAAAAGCAACCCAGTTGGACCTCTCCGAAGGCATCAACAATCAATTCCCCTTAATCCCACCGGTTTGTCTTGTCAGCGAGGCGTCGTGGAACTTCCCTTGACACCTCTTCTCTGCTCTGGTTGTTGTTGACGTTTTGTTTTGATGTCCTGCGTGTGTCCGTTCGTCTTGACCCTAATCCCCATCACAATGCCCGTCCAACAATAGATCTGGCGAGTTCAACTTCGAGGAGTTGGAACCACTTCGCATCGTTTTTCAGCTGTCGTGTCATATTGCGATTCATAAATTTGGCATTTTGGCTCCTAGTTTCTAAAAATCCACTTCCTTGTCGGTATTTAAGTATAAGCCTGCGATTTGACCATGCTCGGAAGTTTGTGCTGCTGCTTTCCCAGCCAAAAACAGCTGCCATCCACATCCAATCTCCATCAGCAGCCGCATGATCCTCAAGCAGGCTTGAGTCGATGTGGTGGGGTTGGCAGAGATACGGATGCACCGGGTATAGATGAACCATATCTCTCCACGGCTCCTCTCCCAAGATATACCCCGCGTCCAATCAGTGCTCATGAGAAGACTCTCGCCTTTGAGCGTGCCCAGTCGAATTTAAACGGGCATCCTGATTCCCTACGGGATGAGAAGACTAGATACGAGTTTGAGCGGGAACTTGCTTCACCTCAACTAGATGATCGCTCCTCTGATGCTTCATCCGAAGTGTCTGTTCCTAGCAGCTTCGGCAACACCTCAACTGCAACGACTGAAACCCCTCCACCCCCATATTCATCCAACTCATCAATCGCACCTTCGCGTCGTTCGGTTTCGATATCTGTATCAACCCACGAGACTGACTTAACCTACACCAGCCTCGAAAGCATTGAGCTTGAATCGCCCGCTCCCCAACTTCCTCTGGCACCCCCTACCGCAGTATATAGCACTCACCCCGCGCATGAAACACTAGAAACAAATGGCGGGTCACATAGACGCTCCTTAGAAGGACCCCAGGAAAACAGCCCATTTCCTCCCCTGGCCCCTACTCACCCGAGACAGTAAATGCCCGCCATATGTGCATATCAATCAGATATGTTAAAACTCTCCAAGTGGAACGTTAAAGTAATGTCCCGTCTGCATTCTTGAGATAGCCTGTATTTGAACCAGGAATCCGATATAACCCCCGCCATCGATACAACTTGAAACAGTTTACTCCTTTTCCATGACACCGATATAGAGAAGCCTACATCTACAAACCCGACGCGCATCCGAGAGTATCACCTAGGTATCCAATTTAGTGGGCCATGGAGAAACGTGCGATCCTGATCTTTCTTTAGTATTTAAGCTAGCTATGGACCCGTCACCCATCAACCTCCGCCCGAGACTTCAAACATATCTCAATTTAGTGCCATCGACTCTCCAGTTCAGCCATATAGAACATTGTTCAATACCGGAATTTTTTTTTCCCCCCCCACAACACATGCATTGTTTTCTTCACATATAGAGAAGACTTCCACTCTCGCCCTGAGAATGTATAGAAATATATGATCATTCACAGCGATCTAATTCACATGCACATATATCCACACACTGTAATACTACCTGCGGGCCCCCTCCGTTTTCAAACTATTTTGCCTCCTTTAGCTCATGTCCATCCACAGCAATATTATGTCAAAATGATTCAGTTTTTCCATTTTCGCGTTCTGCCTGGTGAAATCGCGTTTCCCTTGGGCCTTTTTTATTCTATATTTTCAATATTTGGAGCAACTTCGCGGGGCGGTGTCGAGGCCGGATAGTATGGGGA